AGGGTACCGTGAGAATGAATACACATCCATGGACCCACATTTCCAGGACATTTCCTTCCATTCTCCATTTATTATCTCTTTATACCTCCACCAAACTCCACTCTAGTTTAAAATATGAAATTGAGCTTAAGGGCAGGAGGAATCATTTGGTTCTTAATTGACTGTTGTTCCACCTTTAACCAATCACCTCCTGCTTAATCTACTCAACTGATCAGTTAACAAATATTTGTGAGGCTGTAGAAGATGAGATGGTGTGGTGGAATACATGTTGAGTTGTTAATATGAAGGTCAGCAGTTTGAATCCACTAGCCACTTTACAGAAGACTGATGAAGCTTTCTGATCTGTTAAAGAGTCCCAGTCTCAGAATTCCTAGGTAGCATTTCTGCTCTGCTCTCTGGGCCTATGAGTCAGAAGTGATTCAATGGCTCTGGGTCTTTTAAAATACAATTAGCTAGTAATTAGAGATAGAAGAGGATAATATGGTTTGGGGTACATTTAAATCAGTTTCTCAAAGAAGGATGCCAAGGAGGTGACATCACATTTAGATATGAAATTAAAACGGGACCAGTTATGTGGATGAGACCTTGCATCAATGGATGTAGCCAGAGGCACTAGAACAGCAGATTATTTACTTGAAACCATCTGAGAGAGGGCATAATGGTTGTTGTTCAGGGACTCCGAAGATGAATTTGTGTCTGGAAGCAGAGAGTGCTATTTGGAGGTTTTTCAGCCTGAGTAAGAAACCTTTTCCTTCTCTGAAGGAAGTCTTGCTTGATTCTGTGTGTCTGGATTCTTATAAAACGGTTAATTGGTGCAAACAGTTTGCACTCAGCTATTAATCTGAAGGTTGATACTTTGAATGAATTCCCATAGCAGCAGCCTGGTAGAAAGGGCTGGCGATCTGCTTTCTTAAAAATGACAGCCAAGAACAACATGTGGAGCACACTTCTATTGTGCAGCCCAGGGGTCCACCTTGAATTGGAATCAACTCAACACTAACAAGGTAAGGTGGTTCTGCCAGGATCCTCCCCTCAGTGCATGGGTTGGGTGGACCGCCATGGCTAATTAATTCTATTGCTCTGAAATGTCTAATCTGCAAAACAATTGCCAAGGAAATGAATTCAAGAGGAATTTTCAAGAAGTACTTCAGGAGAAGTAGATCATGGAAATTGTGCTCATTCAATCTGACACGTCCCCTTTGCTTCTGTTTTATTTCCTCAGTTCTTTTACTTGGTTTCCGTCGGCCTGTGTTTGGCCATTATCATGGCCTTCCAGTTATCAGCGTTCACTTTCCGGGAGAACTTGGCAGCCACAGCCCTCCTGCTGGCACTTTTTGGGTATGTGATGAGAAACACTGCTGCAGAATTATGGCTTGTTTTCTGAAAGTGAAAACCCTCAGGATGGCTTTGAACCTGCTGTTGGCTTCATGATTTTCTCCCTTTTCAAGTCATTATGTTGCTCTTACCAGGACTAGCTTGAAAACAAGCGCGGGCAGAATGATGAATTGATGGCTGCTTCATGCAGGGAGGGCGGGCTGATAGGACCATAATGTAGATGGGACTGGCTCCGTCTCAAAAAGGCGGCCCTCAAGCTCTCTGACGATGAATCTGGGCAGTTTGAAATGGATTATCTATTATTCTCTCTTCAGCATTAACCTGAGGCCTCAAACTGATTCAGTTCGCTCGGAAATTTAGACACTTTCTCTTTTGAAGCTCTCTAACTGGCATGACATTTTTCCTCCCTATGATATTAGTAGTTTGAAAATGGTTTGTGGGAATGCTAGCTCCCTGCCTCACCCCTGAGAAGAAGAGAAGGGTTGGTTTACTCAAACCTTGCTTTTACTCATTCATGAAAATCATATCTTGTGATTCCAAAATTTTACATACCCATTTGTAGGAATGTATAATGATGGATCTTATTATCAGCCCTTTATATGTGTCTGTATCGAGGCCATGTATATGAGAGATAAATACAGGGAGAAAATAACGAACAGAATAATTTATTATGATTCAAGTTTAATTTTTTTGAAACATTCTGTGTTTTTAAAAGCAAAAAAATCAACAATAAATTACTGTGACAACCTCTAGATTTTGATTTTCAAACAGTTCCTCAGAGCATCTAATTAGGAAGTTTATGTTATTGTTAGATAAATGGATGGATAGATCAGATAGGAAGATAGCTAGATGACACATAAATTCTAGATCAGACAGACAGATATATAAACAGGCTAAAAGGTAGATCCACTTACTTGGGAATAGGGATATTATCACATGCTAGCTCTGTAACCTTGAAAATATCAATTATATTTGTTGAGCCTCTATTTTTTTGGATAATATTCACTTTCTGCTTTTGTGAAAGTTAAATTTAGCAGTTCATATAAAACACCAAGTATAATGATTAGAAGAGAGTTTCTTCTAAATTATTTCTAGCCATCATTGTTATAAATAAAACTATTTTAATATTTATATGATATTACATCTTTAGCTATAAAATAGGCCTAAAGTAAATTGCTTATGATTTTCAATTGGAAGTTTATGTACCTGTATGTAACTATAACTATATATTCCCAGTTCTGCGAAAGTTATTTGATTTTAAATTATTAGCCTAATTAAATGATGTTAGCATGTCTATAGTGTGATTAAAATACGCATTTCTAAAAATATGTTTTTGAACTATAGAAGAGACGATGTCAAAAATTAATATAAAACATAAGACGAAATAAAATGGTCAGAGATCTTTTTATAAAAGACATTTTCAGAAGCTTTTATTATAACCTTTGATTTTGAATGCTTTTACAGATTCTAAATTAAGCTAAAATGTCTCCATGCATGTGTGAGTCTAACATTTTTTGAATAGACTTGCTGGGGCATCGTGTCATCCGAGGAGCAATGAAAATATCTGTCTGTATTTGGTCTTCTGTAGTGTAGCCGTCAGGATCCACAGAGGTTAGATTCAGCTTTTTAAAGAACTGTCAAAAGGAAAGGGATTTTGGTGGTAAATCCCTGGGCTTCTAACTGTAAGGTCAACAGTTCATAGCCACCAGCTGCTCCACAGGAGAAAAGACAAGAGTTTGTTATTCCTGTTTGCTAACCTTGAATAACTTGACTCTAAGAATTAGTAAGTAGAACAAAGAAAGATGGTGTTTTTGTTTTATTTTCAGGTTTTTTTGCTGACTTTTTTCTTTGAAGTGTATTTTCCTTTTATTCTTTTCAAAATCATTTTTAATTGGTTTGGTAAAATTTTACAGATCAAATTATATTGCTATTCAACCATTTATGGACATTTTGTTTCTTGGTGTTAGTTGCAATCTACTCAATATGACGCCCTTTTACTCTTCCCTCCCTGAGTTTCTCAATCTCATTGTTCTTCCCTGCCCCTTCCTGCCTCTGGGCTTTCTGTTTAGTCCCATGCTCTCCTGTTCATTTCATATGGTTGATTTCTCTGGAGGGAACACAGATTGCACGTGTGATTGTTGACTTTAGAGGCCTATTAGTTGACTGAAAGGTGATGGTTACTAGAGATGGCAGAGGGAGAGTAGACATGTATTAATGTGGGTGAAGGAAAAGGCACTGATAACTTGAATAAGGAACTGGGAGGTACACAAGAGCAAACAGCCACAGTGATAAAACAAACAAACAAACAAAAAACTATTACATACACCACTCTGCAACTACAGCAATAATAAACAAAAATCTAGGAGGGTGTGCATACAAGCTTAACAAGTATGGGATTCTTGCTGGGAGTACTCCCACAAGTATATACAGGATTCTCAGAGGGCATTTCTACATAACTATTTGGGTGCTGAAAAATATTATTTAGGCATATAGTAGAGCATTCAGGGGGCCAACTTATGAAAATTTCTTAGCCCAAATAAAAAACTTAGAGAGACTGAATCCCTGGGGGTGGTCACTTAGGACCATCATTTCTTTATTTTTTTAAATCATTTTATTAGGGGCTCATACAACTCTTATCACAATCCATACACACATCAATTGTGTAAAACGCATTTGTACATTCATTGCCGTCATCATTCTCAAAACATTTCCTCTCCACTTAAGGCCCTGGCATTAGGTCCCCATTTTTCCCCTCCCTCCCCTCTCCCCCCTCCCTCATGAGCCCTTGATAACTTATAAATTATTATTTTGTCATATCTTGCCCTGTCTGACGTCTCCCTTCACCCACTTTTCTGTCGTCCGTCCCCCAGGGAGGAGGTCACATGGACCATCATTTCAGATGAGATCTAGGGCAATTTATGTAACAGACAATAGATATCCTACTCTGGTGAGTAGCGATTGAGGCTGTGAGCTGTATTGAAAACACAGCTTTTGGTCTCTCCTGGTCCAAAGCAAAGAAGAGTGAAGACCATTAAAGACTCCAACCAACAATGTGTCCAAAGAACGGGTGGACCGTGTGAACCACAGCCTCCACTGGACCGAAACTAGAATCACTAGATGATGATACCCTAAAGCCAACCTGATTCAAAATGCTGATCGGGGATCACTACAGAAGGTCCTAGAAAGCGTGGGAGGAAAATGTAGAACACATTTTAAAATCCTATTAAAAGACCACACTTTCTGGTTTGGTAGAGATGGGTGATATCCCTAAGGCATAGGTCCTTTGACATACTTCATATCTGGGATTGAATCAAGCTTTGTGGACCACATGTCAGCTAAACAACTGATAGGTTTCTTAAATCTTGAACTCATCTAAATCTAAGTACGTTGTCTAGGATCCACTGTTAGTGGTGCCACTTACTCTCCAGTTTGGGGAGCACAGTGATCCGAATCTCATTTTCAGTGATGTTACATAATAGCTGTGGAACCTTGTTCATGGTATTTTCCTTTTGGTGAAGTGGTAATTAGTGTCCATCTTTCAAGGTTACTGGAGAATGTGAGGAGGATGCGAGAACAGGTGGGACTCTGAAAAGGAGCTTACGTTTCTGATTTTGTTGCCTTATCGTGAATTGGACCTCAGCTGCTCTTCTGAGTCGTGATGTAATTTAATTTCCACTACAATGACAAAGTAGAGTCTACCCCTGCTTTACAGAAGAATCGGAGCAGAAGATGGGGTCCAGGCATAGAGATGAGGTGATGATGGGAGATGTCCGTGGACTTGGCCAGGTCACAGAGCCTACAAAGTCAGGACCACATCTCTTGAGCCTACTTCTGGGCCATTGCCATTGTAAATGAAGCATTGTCATACATTACATGATAGTTTTTTGTGTTTGTTTTCAGATATGCAACCCTTCCTTGGATGTATCTGATGTCCAGAGCTTTTTCAAGCTCAAATGTAGCTTTCATCTCCTACATCTCTTTAAACTTCATCTGCGGCCTTTGCACCATGCTCATGACTATCATGCCTCGGTTGCTGGTCATTATCTCCAAGTCAAAGGTCAGTGGCCATCAGCATCACTCCGAAGCAGAGGATGTACACTTGTACCTATTTTGCTGCATTCGTAACTGGAATGGGAAGGAAATGTGCTCACGTCAACTGCCTTTAACTGACTCTCACTGCCTTTAAAGGAAAAAAATGACTCTACTTAACAAAAACAGTGGTTGTACCATTATAGTAGAGCTAGGTCTGGGTCTAGCAATAAATGACATCAAGACAGTCTCGCTGCTCGGTCAGTTAGGGTAGACTCCCTTAAATGGTTACAGCTGCAACTCTGGAAACCTAAACCAATGACTCTTCGTTGATGATATGCTGAATTAAAGGTGGGATCCATGAATCGATGGGTACAAATGTGGCCTGTCAGATTGTTGCAGTAGGAGGGGCAGCATTACCTCCTTGCAGTTCAGGCCGTCTGGGGTAAGCCACAGTGACCGCTCAGACTCGCCAACCAGAGCAGGTCCGATGAATTAGCTGAGGTGATGGTGATGGTGTCTACTGCATGTTTGGTTTTACTACCTCAAAATGTTTGTGCAAAGAGCTCCCGTACGGGCATGGAACATTTTTCCCTGAGAGGGAAATCTCTCTCTGTAAGAACACTCCAAAGGACACTGGTGATACAGCCAACTAAATGCTGGGTTGCTAACTTCAAGCCTGCAGTTCAATCCCATAATCCACTCCATGGGAGAAAGATGAGGCTGTTTGCTCCTATAAATATTCACAGTCTCTGAAACCCTAAAATCAGTTCTACTCTGCTCTATAGGGTTATTGTGCATCAAAATTTATTCAATGGCACTGGATAAGAACCCCTTCCTTAACAGACCATTCTCATTAGTTGCTTTTGTCCCTGTCAACCCCTGCAGGTCCCTAGGTCAAATTGAATCCATTCTGTTGACATATCATTTTATTGCCATTCTTGTGCTTCTACCACATATTCTCCCCACTGTGACACACCTGGTCATGGCCTCATCTATAACCTACCTTCTGCTTCAAATCACGTACTATGGGCATGGATTAGGTTTGCACTCTCTGTGTATCTATATTGTTCACCCTTGCCCCACCCACCAACAGCTTTATTGGAACATAATTCACATGTTTTACAATTGAACAGTTCAGTCGTTCGATCACATCAAGAGGAGTTGTATAATCATCACATCTATCTTAGGGTCCACCCCCCCAACCCCAGCCCAACATGGCCACATTGCCTTCCAAATGAGCTATGCAATCACTCAATTCTAGTGCTCCCACCCCAATCCCGCCCTCAAGGTTCACGCCTGAAGCCACCCTTCCCTTCCCATCACCCATCACCCACCCCTGTGTTCCCTACAACACCTTGTAACAGTTATTATCATCCAACATCCATTCCTCCTGTACTTCATAGTTGGAGGCCAACAGAAAACAGTGTAAGAGAAATCACACTAAGGTCGTAAGGATAAGATCATATTAGTATAAAGGCAAAAATACAAATGATGTGTAAGACGGAGAAGACCCCCCTTCAACATCCAAAAGCAAGGTAAGAGAGTTCTGTCATGGGACATCCGACAGATACTTGCACACAGTACTAATTCAGGTATCTCTAGGGAGGACAATTGTCTCTGTATTCTTGACTCACATTACACAGCTTCTGATTTCCTGCTATTTGCATGCAGTCTGATTCCTCAGTAGTTCATATGGACTAGATGTTCCCCTGACTTAGTGGCTGAGAAAATATGAGAGGAAAGGCCCAGAGCCCTCAGGTCTGAAGGATGCACTTCTGGTCTCATTTAAAATGGGACAGAGATGAATACTTGGCACAATAGGACAGGCTCACTTCTATAGGATCAGAATTCCAGAGAGTAAGCTGATTCTCAAGTGATAGTGGACATTGTTTTTATTGTTGTCTTTTATTACTGTGTATCATATTTGGATGATAGAAGCTGTGATGTGTGCAAATATTATGCATTCAATGGAAGAATCCATCTATTTTGGTGATTTTTACAGCTTCCTTGTTAACTTTAATCCATATTACTAGTCTAGTGTTAAAGAAAAAAAAAGTAGAGCTATTAATTGGCGTTAGCTTGAGGAGAAATTGAACTCAGCAGAATCAGTTATACAATTTCCCCTCCTCCTTCATCACATCTCTAATATGATATGGGTCACTGCGGATGCCAGCAATGACCTCATGTGGAAGACCGCAGATACATTTTCATAATCTGTCTAGGGAGAGACTCAGAAACAGGTTTGCTCTAGGGGACACAATGACATAAGTTGGATTTTTCTACAAAAGGTCGAGGGAGGAAGGTGTAAGTTTCTTCCTGATGCAAAGAGGAAACTGGTCAGGAGCCTTAGATGGAAGAGGATTGCAGTCCTCAAATTAAAAATAGTGTTAATTACTTGAAAAATAAATCCAGTGGAGAATGGTTATTTGTGGAAAGCTAGCTTAAAGTCCTTAGGGAAAAAAAGAAGTGTTTTATTGCTTTTTCTAAGGTCTTTGTTTTCTTTGCTCTCTATTTGATAGTTTGTTTATAAACTCAACATTATTAAATGGATAATTTCATGTATTTGTAAAGTGTGGAGTTTTTAATATAATCTCAGAGACTTAGAAGAACAAAGTAAGAAAGGATTCTCAAAGCAGTCTTGAACAACAAATAATCACCAGTATAACCAGTATTAACCATTGTGGATCATGTTTAATTTTCAAAAAATGAAAATGTAACTTCCATTAAAAATGCACTTTGGGTTCTAACTGAAGGTCTAAAGCCTCTATCTCTCCCATTGGTGAGGCTCCCTGATAGCACAGGATTAGCCAAGGCAAATGGCAAGGGCTTCAGTGATTTATTCCTATCTCTACTGCTCACTTTCATTCCCCCTCCACAGAGCCTAGACATTGGAAGAGCATTGTCCCAGTGAATTTGTAGAGTCACATCCTCCCTTACATGTACTGACTCTTTGCTCATTCAGTGTGCACACCTATGGACACTGAATTTGCTTATAGTTGCATAGGAAAAATGATGAATTCTTTAAAGGCTGATGTAAATCATCACTGCAAGTAAATAATTTCCCTAATTATTTTCTGATTTAAAGGCTGAAAGACTTTATTATTTCTATATTATAATTAGTAGTAGAAGTCCTTTCACGCGGCACAGTAATTGACAGAAAAACATAACTTTATGGAAAGTGGGATTAATAAGTTCCTTTTTGTCTGGTTGAAATCTGTAAACAGTGACACTCCATCAGTTTAGGAATGGAGAGACAATTAGATGAAGCTTTTATAATTTTTCTGTGTCTTTATGCAGAAGAAAATAAGCCATAATATAACAATAATAGCCTCTAAAAGCCTTTATAAATTTTTTATTGCCTCCAAACCACATTATTGAAGACTACATTTATATTAGTTGATTATAAATCTGTGTTATAAGGAAATTTGGACCCTATGTATTATGAAATTTATATTTGATGATGCTGTAAGTTAATTTTTAAATATACCATTTTTCATATATGTATACATATGATAATTTTGAACTCATAAAAAAATCATTATTTTGGATCAATTATTGAATTTGAGGAGAAAGAGGAAAACCAAATATGCAAGTCTAACTCTCCATCATGTTTCCATAGATTTCCTTTTGTAATTATAGTTATATGATTTTTGTTAAATACTTTAAATCAGCTACATTATATCTAAATGCCAACTCTGCAGTTAAGTATTTCAATTTACTCTTTGAAGTCTGTGTTTCCTATGGCAGAGATATTAGTCTTTGGATAGTGTTCAACACACTATGGTAGAGCCATTGTCAGAAGCATAAACAAAGAGCCTTAGGCGACCCTTTGTTCCAGCTTACCCGAGGTCACCAGAAGTGGGGACTACCTCTATGCCTCCTAAGACAACAGCAACAAATATGAGCTAGGAATTGTCCACATATTTTAAATGCTCACCGTCAACTGGTAAAGTAACTGCTAATATTGTCCATTCATTTAAATGTCCATGTCCACTTGTGTCTTAAACAATTTACTTATGTAACTTGCAGCATATTTCTAAAAAGCAGAAGCATTATCTCTTAAACTCAAATTTGCTTGTCTGTAAAGTCCAGAAGCTTAAATATTTTCCCTCGTTGTTAAGTAAGTGTGTGACTGGAAGAATACCCTTTCTAATAATCGCTAAAACTGAAAGAATTAACTATTTATGCACTAGGACATAGGACTTGTATAAAATATGCATATCTCCCTCTTTTTCTCAGTTCCCCCTGCCATGGACTTGATTCTGACTCATAACACTCATAATCAGAAAACTGCCCCTGTGGCTTCCGGAGACTGTAACTCTTTCTGAGAGTAGAAAGCCTGATAGTTCTTCTACGGAGTTGCTGGTGGTTTCAAACTGCTGAGCTTGGATTTAGCAACCCAACATACTACCAGGCTCCTGCATCTATTCTCTAGAAGGAAATGTTCTGAGGATACAAACTTTTGACTATTCATTCATTCATTTCGATTCTACTTGTGAATCATCTTCTATATTTCAAAAGTACATGAATTTCTTGGGCTACAGTGATGAGCATACTCCTGAGTAGCCTTCAAAGAATGTAGAGGCCAGTGTATCAAGGAGAGAGGTGAACAGTGTGATTAAAGGTGTGCTAATTCTGAGCCTAGCTTGTCCTATGAGATACAAAAGTACCTACTAACCAAGTTTGGGAGGGATAGGAGGTGACCTCAGAGCTAATATACTAAAAGGGGCAAATGGAAAGCCTTACGGTCAGAAAAGAGCACAATGCAAGGTCAAGAGTTCGTTATGGTAGACTTTTTTGACTGAGTAAAGCTGAAAAATAAATGTGAAAGGGGAAAGGTGGTATAATCGAAGGCTGAAGAAATAGTGAAAGACAGAGTGGGAATCCCATGTCTTGCCAACGTGCTTAGGAAAAGAGAAAATGTAGTTAAGTGGTTGTAATCAAGGGAATTCAGGTTTTTTCTGCAAAAGATGAAGTGTGAGAAAATTGGGAGAGGCTAATGATCAGAGTGAGGAGACTGGTTAGAAAGAGGACTGTGAAAAAAACCCAGGAGAGAAGGTCTTACAGCTGGAACTAAAATAACAGCAACAGGAATTGAAAGAAGAAGGTGGCTATTGATCTTATTTTGCAACAGAATTGATTTGATGTGGGATGTGAAAGAGAGAAGAAAATATTAAATGCTGCTGCCATTTAATGGGCAGGCTCAAAAAGGAGACATTTTCTGCTCTTATTGCAACACCTGAAACAGAGTGTGGAATGTGGTCAAAACTCAAGAAATGTCGTATCCCCCGGAACCATTGGTCCCATTGTTTTCATCTCTGAATTGTTTATTCCTGCCTGTCTTACCTAGATGGACATTCAGATACACTAATAGGCGCAAAAAAACACAAACAAACAAACAGGCAAAGCCAAACAAAACAACAAAGAAAGTCAAGACCAACAAAACAATAACAACAACCAAAAGCAAAACAACAACAACAACAAAAAGAAAGCCACTGACAACAAATGGGAAAGCCTATAAATAGTTCAAGGTCAGTTTGTTGGCCTTTACTAGTGTCTCACAGTCAAGTCTGATGGCTGCCACACTCTGTCTCCAAAGTCTATTTTTAAGGGTTCATGAAGGAGGGCAGGCAGGGGGAGGAAGGGGTAGAAATGGGGAGCTGGTATCAGGGGCTCAAGTGGGGAGAGAATGCTTTGAAAACTATGATGGCTGCATATGTGCAAATGTGCTTGACACAATGGACGAATGTATGGATTGTGATAAGAGATATAAGAGCCCCCAATAAAAGTATTTAATAAAAAAAGAAATATGGACACATCTTTAAAAAAATAAAGAAATGCTTGTCAACTCTAAGTGAATTCTTTTATGGAAGTCCTTGGATTGTTTTCATTTTGGACATGTTGAATTTGAGATGTTTTTGGAATCTACAGAGAGATGACCAATAAGAAGAACAATGTGGTGCTTAGTAAAGATATCTGATTAAAAGTTCTGGATTTGAGAGTCAATGGCTCAGAGAAAGAAGGTGAACCCTAAGAAAACCTCTACCGAGGTAGAGAACACTGAGAATACATTTGATGAAGCATATAAAGTCCTTGAGATTCTGTAAACTTTGAAGACTAGATTCAGGAAAATGAGCATTTTGGACGAAAGGGGGCTTGGGGATGACATGAGTTTAACTGAGAGTCCCCTATAAGAACTTTGCATATTCTGATGACCTGTTGATTCCAGTTTCAGAGGGCACAAGAACTGCTGAAAAAGCAAAAGAGGTGACGAGGTGAAGAAAGGAAAAAAGCAATGGCACTTTGAATAAGTTTGGGAATCTCACACAAGAGAGGTTTGGTAGGCAGGAAAGATGTGGACATGAGGCACATTGAGCTCTAAAGATGGGAGAAACTTGAGAAGGAAAATCACTCATGGAAAGGAGCAAGTAGAGAAGATCCAAGTAACTGCCCACGAGTCGATTGTGACTCATCGCGCGACTCTGTAAGACCGACTAGAACTGCCCTGTGCACATGTATGATTGCAGAGAGCCTCAGCTTTCTCCTGTGGAGCTGCTGGGGATCGCAAACTGCTGACTTGGCAGTTAGTAGCCCACCCCCTTACTAACTTAGTTCCCCTCTAGCTGGTCTCCTTTCCTGGAGGAATTTGTGACTTGGGCTCTTGCTCCAATCCTTTCTTCTCCTCTAGGACCTCAGCCCACCAATTGGGCCCTCTTATCTACCTACCTAGAGGGAGAGATGCCGTAGAAAAGCGGGAAAGAAGGCCAGTTATAGATGACCTGAGTTACTAAAGGGGAAAGAAAGACATCGACGGAATTCCTGTTGGTAGATCCTATTTCCTTTGAACACTAAAGGATTGAAAATGTTCGAAAAATGGGTGGTTTTTTCTGCGATTGAGATGGTTTAGGAAAATACAGACGCTTAGAAATAACTGACTCGAAGACTAGAGAAACACAGCCAGGTGATTGAGGAATCTGTGTCTCTAAGAAGGGACAGCTTGTGCTCTTCACAGTAAGTAGCCTAGAATGATGATTTCCTTTTGCTTGCAGTCCACAGAGACAGTTGGAAGTAAGAATATGGTTATAGATGAGAGTTCTTTATAGCTTGTTATGAGGATTTATTGAATGGTATAAGGAGAGATTAGAACAGGGGGCTGGCCATGGAGCAATGAATGTTATTGATATGTTTTGTTAAATGTGGCTATTTTAAAATTGAATTATTTTATCTTTCTTTCCTTGTACAGAATTTACAGAATATTTATGATGTCCTCAAGTGGGTCTTCACCATCTTTCCTCAATTCTGTCTGGGCCGAGGACTGATAGAGCTATGTTATAATCAGATCAAATATGACCTGACCCACAATTTTGGCATTGATTCCTATGTGAGTCCCTTTGAGATGAATTTCCTGGGCTGGATCTTTGTGGAGTTGACCTTCCAGGGCACAGCGCTTCTCCTTCTGAGGCTTCTGTTGCACTGGGATCATCTGCAGCAGTCAAGGTACGTCCTTCCTTCCGGCCCCATCAGTACGTGGTGTAGATTCTCCAGGACAAAGGGAGGCGGGGCAGATATTCCCATGGAAAGTGCGTGAAGAGAAGGAATGTCAGATCATTTTCTAATGAGTTTATATTATATGTTTTCCTTTGTTATTGGTGCCAATCACCAGCACTAAGAAGGAGCATGTCAAAAGACAAAGTACCACCCTATGAAAATCTCTTTCCAACGATTTAATTCTATGAATGCATTTCCTATTTTGAAATTCCTCAATTGCTCTATTATAATCAATGCCTTAAATTTTTTTTTTTTTGGCTTTTGGGTTGTTCTTTTACCTTTTTTTTTTTGTAGCTAAAGGTATTAATTCCTAGAAGCAGGTAGGTGCTAGAATGCAGTGCAGGTAAGCACATGAACTTTGCAGGTACTATTGTTTCTGTTGCTGCTGAGGATAAAATTAGCAGCACAATACATGTGTATTTATAATATTGTATACATATGGTTTATGTAGATATATATCTATCTGTATTTTATTTCTATATATCTCACTGATAGTCTAAGGTACCTCGCAAGAGTGTCTAAACTATTGTGAGATCAGATATATGAAAGATAGTGCTGAAGGGTCTACAATGGTGTACCTCCCCATCCATGACCTATGTGCCCTTGATCCACTGGCCTAGTCTTTCCAAGTGGTGCATGTTTCCTGCCAAATTCTCCTTATGAGAGGAATCTTTCATGCTGAAATTGCTAACTAGTACCATGCCACTGGAAATATTATTGAACTTATAAATATAACTTATTAAAATAGCATGCTGACATCATTATAGATTTTTCACCCCTTTGTATCTTCTTGGCCTATTTCTTATGTATCCTCTTTTCATTTGCTCAAAGAGGCAACTGTTCTGAATATAATTCAAAATATCTTGAATTGGCCATGATAACTCTAAAATACATTGCTTTCCAATATCTGACTGAATTTGGGATCCAATTAGGAGTGTCTTTTTTCTCTGATGGGTTTCTGCCTTATGTAGGTTCCTACTTTCATAGGTTAAACTGCATTTTTCACAGACACCAATTAAAATTATATTCTGAGTAGTTGAATCATAGAAGAGAATATAAACCCCCTACCCTGCAGATCCCTTGCCTGCTTCTGACTAACGCAATCTATCCATGAGCAGTACATGATAAGGACAAAAGGTGTGGGTCCTCTGAGACTACTGTGTTGATGCACTTCCCAAACACACCACCACAACAGTGGTCCTGCAGACCCTTCTGTTGGCCTTTGCTTTTCTGCTGAGGAATCTATATCTCCTTTAGAACCTGAGCACTGCCTGTGCTACAGAGAGATGGACAGGCTTCTGGGATTTCTTGAGTCCTCTCTCCTTTCTGGAGTTGGCATTTGCTCTTTGGATCTGAGGCTTCAGTCAGTTCAGGACAGTCAAATGGGCCCAGGATGGCATTTCTTTTCTGGTGTTAAGTATGCTAGAGAACTGGGAAGTTCCACTATAATTAGAGATCATCTATATTTAAAAAAAAATTAAATATAGATATCATTGTATTATGACTGCCAACTGGAAGAGGGGCCCATGTATGAGTGCTGTTTGATAAATATATATTTTTTATTGTGTATTATTGTGAGGAGACCAGCTTGTAAACCGAGACAAGGGTCTTCCACCCATTAGAGTGTCTTTGGACCCCACCTTAGATCCATAGGAGCACATGGTCTGGAGGTGGAAACTATGCTGTCTTGATACAACTCCCTGTTTGATGCTAACGAGGACAGAGGAGAACCACAGCTGGGGGAGAGTGCAGGAGATGGAAGCAAGAGAAAGGAATAGAGTTGGGTTGGGATAAAAGACCTCTGGAAGACCAAGGCAGCGTAAAGATTAGGAAATGCACCTTCTTTTTTTTTTTTTATTTTAGGGATTTAAAAAAAATCAATTTATTTGGGCTCATACAATTCATCACAATACATAGATCAATTGTGTAAAGCACATCTATACATTTGTTGCCCTCATCATTCCCAAAATTCGCTTGCCTCTTGGGTTCCCAGAATCAGCTCATTTTCCTTTTTTCCCCTCCCCCTCTCTTTCTCCTCCCCCCTCCCCCATGCACCCTTGATAATTTATAAATTATTATTATATCTTATATTACACTGCCCGGCGTCTCCCTTCACCTACTCCTCTGTTGCCCATCCTACAGAGAGGAGGTTATATGTAGCTCCCTGTGATCAATTCCCCCTTTCTACAACCCCTTTCCTTCCTGGTATCGCCACTGTCACCCCTGGTCCTGAGGGGTTCATCCGTCCTAGATTCCCTGCGTTTCCAATTCCCATCTGTACCGCTGTGCATCATCTGGTCTAACCAGGTCTGCAAGGCAGAATTGGGGTCCTGGTAGTTGGGGGGAGGAAGCATTTAAGAACTAGAGGAAGGTTGTGGGTTTCATTATTGCTATACTGAACCCTAAGTGACTCATCTCCCCACTACCCTTATGTCCAGTTTTCTAGAGATGGGCATTGGGTCCCCATCACGCGCCACCCTCGTTGACGAGGATATGATTTTTCTCCCCGCCTTTGGTGTTTGAAGCCTGGTCCCTTTGGCCCTTCATGATCACACATGTTGGTGTGCTGCTTCCATGTGGGCTTTGTTGCTTCTGGAATAGATGGCTGCTTGTTTACTTTCAAGCCTTTAAGTCCCCAGATGCTATAGGTCTCGATAGCCGGGCACCATCAGCCTTCTTCACCACACTTACTTATGCACACATTCCTCTTCAGTGTTTATGTGGGGAAGGTGGTCACACAATGATGGTTTTTGTTCTTCGATGTCTGCTGCCTGTTCCCTTCAACACCTTGTGTTTGCACAGGCTCATGTGCTTCTTCTAGGATTAGTGAAACAAATTACATGTTTCCCAGATGTATATACCTGTTCTTAGGGAGAACTAGCATTTCATTCAAAATAAAACATTTTCTTCTGGGGGAAAATTAAAAGAAAGAAAGAAAAGTACTTTTTAAAAAAATTTAATAACAAGTACAAGCCTTGTTTTTATTTATTTAAACATTTTATTGAGGGCTCTTTCAGCTCTGATAAAAATCCATTCATCAGTTATAACAAGGACATTTGTACACATGTTGCCATCATTATTTTCTAGACGTTAATTTTCTTTTTATTCTTTCTGTGTTTTATTATTTATTTTCTACTTATTTCTATCTTTAAATCATTTTATAAGGGGCTCATACAACTCTTTATCACAATCCATACACACATCAATTGTGTCAAGTACAGTTGTACATTCATTGCCCTCATCATTCTCAAAACATTTGCTCTCCATGTAAGCCCCTGTAAGCATGTAAGCCCCATGTAAGCATCAGCTTCTCATTTTCCCCCTCCCTCCCGAAAAAAAAATTACTTTTAACTGGAAGAAAACAGATGGGTCTGGTATGGAATTAACAACCCCCCCACACACACGTTTTATGGTTGTCTCTGAAATGGCATTCCTGCAGGAAAGTGCACTTTCAAAATTGCACATACCCTTGTAACTTTCAAATAAAAAAATTGAAAGTTGCCAACCCCTTGAAATTCTCTGCATAGAACTTTGCGAGTCAATAACCACTCTAAAGCTAACCCTGATTTTTAATTTTTGTATCCATTGATTTATTGTTTAATATTTTGAGGGTTATGTAGTTGGAATTATGTAATATACATTTCTATGTGTTTAGTTATGGTTTCTATCATCTGTGTTGTTTGTGGAATAAATTATATACATGTTAAATGACTAAGGGTACTTGGAACTAGAATTAGGTATTATATTTTAGTTTGTTCTGAAATAGTTTATGATTTTGAGAATCTGAAAAAATAGTATACTGCATTCCTATGGACCTTTCAATTATTTCCCTCAATGATAATATGATGACATATAACCATAATACATTATGAAAACCAGGGAACTGCTGTTAATATGATGCTAACTCACTGATCTGTATTATTTTAATCATTAAAATGTTGACAATTTAAAGGGGAAATTGAACATTTATTTGCAAGTTAAAATGTAGCAGATTGAAAATAATATAGAGAACTCAAGATGAATCTTTTACTCATCAGACAAGCACAAGGAAGGTTTAAAAAGTTAATGAAAAAATAGAATTACAAGCTAAATGTTTTTTTCCATGAACTTTGTAAAATCCTCTTGTGCTATTGAATTCAATGTTTGACACACTAGACAATGTGCTTCCCATACGATGCTTATATACATTTCAATATATGTTGCATAGCTATAAAAAATTGAGTACTTTCATATGCAATCTGTAAGAATCCTTATTAGGCAGTTCTATTGTGTCATACAATATTACTTAACTGGAATTGAATGAATAATATGGCATATGACAGTATATTTAATCAACTCTATTAAATGACAGTTATTCTTCTAAAAGTACTTAGACAAGTCCATTCCCTATGATAATTTTGTGATAGCCTTCTCTGACAGTATGACTTTATTATTCTATATTGAAAAGTAGGTCTAGTTTAGTGGTGATACATTTTAGTTTCTTACTGGAACATATACAAAGGGTAACCCTCCCCCGCCCCCCGAAAATAAAACAAAACAAATTAAGTTATGTATTTAATTTTATTATTAAATAACCTTATGAACTTCAAAATACTCTCCATTACACTTAATACATTTGTCAAATCTGCAATTCCATTCTTGGAAACATTTTTCAAACTTATCTGTTTGGGTGACTGACAAGCACCTCCCTCATGTTTTTTCTTAACCTTTTCTCCATCATCAAATTGCTGTTTTTCATGTCCCTCTGCATTTGCAGAAACCGAAAGAAATTGCACAGAGTGAGGTCAGGGGAATAAGGTGTGTGGGGCAACAGAGGCATGCTGGCTTTTTGCCAAAAATTGGTGTCCTGAGATGGCTGCATGAGCAGGTGAATTGTCATGGTGGCAAAACTAGTCTCCTATTTGCCACAAACCAGGACTTTTTTGTCACACAGTTGCACAATCTTCTCAGAATCTCTAAAAAGAAAGCTTGATCAACAGTCTGACCTGGTGGAATGAACTCCAAATGCACTAGCCCCCTCACATCAAACAACCAAATGAGCATTATCTTGATCTTTGACTTCATTTGAGCTTTTTATGAGTGAGGTGACGTTGGCGTCTCCACTGGCTTGATTAATGTTTGCTTTCTGACTTGTAAGAATATGAACAGCACCATGTCTCACCACCAGTAATGACCTTGGGAAAAAAGTTTGGGTCACTTTGGAGCTGTTCTTTCAAAGCATGGCTTGTTTCCACTTGACACTTTTTTTACCGGTCAGTCAGAACCCAGGCACAAATTTTGCAGTGACCCTTCGCATTCCCAAATCTTCCATTAAAAGTCACTGAACTAAGCTCCAGGATAGTCCAGCTAACTTCCCCATCTCTTCAATGGTCCATGGTTGGTCTTCGAGAACAAGTTCACAAATTTTGTTGACATCTTCATCTGTTCGGGGAGAATGAGGTTTGTCATTAATCGACATTTCCCCTCTTTTGAAATGAGAAAACCACTCACACAATTGAGTTTTTCCCATAGCACTGTCCTTGTAAGCTGTGTTCAACATCACCACAGTTTCTGCGGCATATTTCCTGAACAGGAAACAGAATTTCACAGCTACACACTGTTCTCTTAAATCAATGAAAAATGAGGTTCGAGGGAAGCTGCTTTTACAACACATTCACAGTGACCGGAGAGAACGTTCCCGAGTGACACCACTGGGTGCACTTGCTGCTCAGCTAGCAGGACAGTTAGTACTATGAAAGCTGCACCCAGCAGAGCTTTATTCCATCTTTTGGTGTGTGTGTGTTGGGGGGGGGGCACCCCCTTGTATGTTTCTTCAGATTAGAGGGTGAAAAATGACTATTTCTGACAATCAATAATCAGATGGAAGGCGTAGAATGATATCGCAGATGTCTGGAGCCCTGGGTCTTGAGAGTTGTTTCCACCCAGTGGGTCTGTAGAAGACAGGCCTGGCAGCCTGTTTCCAGAGAGATTTGTGGAGAAAAGCCTATGGATCATTTTTATGAACCAGCAACAGTAGTTTTTGTTTGTTTTGCTATGTTCTGAAAACCGTTTTTGGTGTCTGGGGTGATTTCTCTATTTTGCTTTTCTAGATTGCTGACATCTTGCTCTGTGTAGATGATTCCAGTATCATCTCTCACAAGTGCATGAACTCTTTTGGTATCTTTCCAGGAGCCACTCTGCTCTGACTGGCACCATCAAAGCTTCCAAGGATGTGGATGTAGAAAAGGAGCAAATGAGGGTGTTTGCAGGAAGAACTGGTGGAGACGTTCTTGTGTTGTACAACCTTAGTAAAAGTTACCGAAGTTTTTTCAAGAAGACCACCGCTGTGCAAGACATTAGTTTGGGCATACCAAGAGGAGAGGTATCGAATTTCTACTCTACCTTTTCATATAGCAAGCCTGTGTGATTCTAATGGTAAATTATTTTCATGATATCTGAAATAAGAACTATGATGTCTTCTAATTTCAAGAACTATTGTAAAATGAGTAGGAGGAGATGTGTAGAATACCTGAGAGTTACCTTTCTTGATGCCTGAAGACTTCACTGAATGATAGCATTTTCTTTTCATTTTATTATATAATTTAATTTTTGTGTGAATCCAAGTTAAAATCATTTTTTGAGTTGTGAAATGACTTTTTCTTTAGTGAAACTATTTTGTGAATCCAGTTAATGAAGGGAAGGACTTCGGCTCTTATTTGGACTTCACTATTGTTCAGTAATCTAGTAGACCCATCTAGGAAAATGCTACTCTAGCAAAGTAAAGAAAACTCTAATACCATAACAATAGCTCATACTTAAAAAAATTAATGTGGCATTAATATGAGAATAAATATCTGATAATAATGTAAATAAGTAATATTGCTCTTTATTTGTGCCTAGTGTATAAAGGGAAATAAGTTACAAAAGTGATTAGCCTCAATTAACTGTTTAAAATAAAAGAGCACCTTACTTTTATATTGTCTCAAGCTCCTCAGAAATTCAAAGTGGGTTATATTATTTAATGATTAGCATCTCTGGCCTTCTTTTGAATTTAGAGTAGATGTTTCAGATATGAGTGTATTAACCTGGGAGAAGTCAAGCAATCCGTCACAAAAACTTAGCTTATACAGTTGATTCCAGGCATAGCGAAGCTCTAGGACAGAAGTAGAATTGCTCCAGACAGTTTTGAGGCTATAAATCTTTATAGGTGTACAGCGCTTCATCTTGCTCCCACAAAGCACTGGGTGGGTTCTGATCATCTTTGGGTTAGCAGTCTAACACGATGTCTCCAGTTCTCCTTCATAAAAATTTAAAGGCATATAAACTGAAATGGTTCCTTGGAAACTTTCAGTTACATGGAATATCTTTCATATGAAAATTCCCAAGTTTTCTCCTTCTCTTTAGCTAAAAACTACCATGGAGAAGTCATCAAAAAAGTAAATTGGTCTATAAAACAAAATATAATTCAATAAGACATCTAAAACTGGATTGCTAGACTTAACATAGTAGAAAACAACAACAAAAATATTTTCTTAACATTTTATTCTACTAAAAGTCAATACCTAGATTCTAAGACCAGCGTTAAGTTGCTTGGGATTGATTGCTTGACTCCTCCCAGGTCAATACACTCATATCTGAAACATCTACTCTAAATTCAAAAGAAGGCCAGAGATGCTAATCATTAAATGATATAACCCACTTTGAATTTCTGATTTTTTTTTAAGTGGTCAGTAGACCAACTAAGTTTGGAAATCTATGGCTTTCTAAAGGAGCTCTGGTGGCATAATAGGCTACACTTTGGGCTGCTTACCTCAAGGTCAAGGTTTCAAACCACCAAACACTACAAGAGAAAGATGAGACTTCCCTTCAACCTCAAAATCCCTTGGAAAAGTTCTACTCTTCCTACAAGGCCATTGTGTGTTAACCAACTTGATAGCAATGAGGTTGGTTTTCATCCATTTCTCTAACTAGCTATCATCTGTCTATCTATGAGTCTATGTATCCCTATATGTATATACAGGGAGCATCCTGTGTACATGTGTATGGTGTGGATATGCTCACTGTAATACTCCTATGAGGGAAAGTTAGAAACTATTGCTACAAAATCAGAGAAACTCTTATTAAGCACAAATATTAGAATGTGAAGCAATTGCTTTCTGGCATATGCTCATCTAGGTCTATAGGCGACTGACGCCCATGCTTCCATCTCTCTGATCCTTCCCTGAGGACTTCTGTCCTTTTATACTATGGCAAGACCACACTTTGGGCATCTTTAAGGGACACGAATTTTGTTCTTTTTAAATGGTCTTTGAGGTTTGGGAACAAACAAAAAATGTCGAGAAGGGCGAGATCAAGTTTGTACACGTATCATGGTAAGATTTTCCAGTGAAATTATCTGACAACAATTGCTGCGCTTGAGGAGTGAGTCGGTGCACTGTCTTTTGATGGGAAAAAAAATTCTATTTGCAACTTTTCTGGCATTTTCTCACCAATTTAGTTTTTAATTTTCTTAAAACGTTTTCATACTAAGCCCTGGTGATCACCATGTGCTCGTCAAGAAAATATACCAGCATTACCCCTTTGGAAACCTCGAACCTGCTGCTGTAACCTTCCGTGCAGGCTTCTCTGCCTTGCATTTAATTGGTCTACAAGGTCTCCTCAAAAGTCACAGTTTTAATTGGACCTTGTTTTCCTAAGCATATTGGTAAATCCAAACATTTCTACAGTTAAAAATTTCCCCATAAAATTCTGTTCAATAGCTCCAACTTTTAAAAATCATTTTATTGGGGGCTCGTACAACTCTTAGCATAATCCATACATGCATCCATTACGTCAAGCATATTTGTACATTTGTTGCCATCATCATTCTCAAAAAATTTGTTTTCTACTTGAGCCCTTGATATCAGCTCCTCATTTCCCCCCTCCCTCCCCACTTCCCTCTCCCTCATGAACCCTTGATAATTTATAAATTATTATTATTTTGTCATATCTTACACTGTCCAACGTCTCCCTTTACCCACTTTTCTGTTGTCCATCCCCCAGGGAGGAGGTTACATGTAGATCCTTGTAATCGGTTCCCCCTTTCTACCCCACCCTCTCTCCGCCCTCCCAGTATCACCACCCTCACTACTGGTGCTGAAGGGATTATCCTGGACCTTGTTTTCTGAAGCATATTGGTAAATCCAAACATTTTCCACAGTTGAAATTTCTCCATAACGTTCTGTTCAATAGCTCCAATCTGTTTTATAAGACCAATGGAAAGATCAACTCTGAGCCAGCTGATCTTTAGGCATCCTAACAAAACAGACAAAAACTGGTAGAAATAGTCTGCACTCATGCACTAATCACACGGACATGCTTATACAAGTTTTGTTTTGAAGAAACCTGTGTATGTATGAACTAGAACTCTAGTAACAATGCTTCTTACCCTCTTACAAGGGGAGAATGGAAAATGGAACATTCTAGGAAGCTCTTTTAAAATCTATATGGGCATGGTTGATCTCAGCATATTTGGGAGTAGTTTGTATTTATTTCTCATCTTAGACAGCAATGTCTATAAAGTCATACTGAAATGCTTATATCATGAAATGGTACAATCATTTTGAAATCATTCTTGAATGTTTAATATAGGTGTAGTAATTTCAAAATCACCAAAACAAACCTGAAATATCAATTCCTAGTTAGGTGGAAATGAACGCTAATTCATCTCCAATCTTAATGTTATTGTTCAACTTGTGTTTCCTTTCAGTGTTTTGGGCTTCTAGGAGTGAATGGAGCTGGAAAGACCACTACATTCAAAATGTTGACTGGTGACGTCACTCCAACATCAGGACATGCTTTCATCAGGACTCCCATGGGGTAAGACCCAATTGTTTTCAGTGTTTTTGCTACCTAAAGAGATAATAACCAAGCCCAGAATCCTCTAAGCTTTTCCTTTGTCCTGTGGACTAAAGTCTAAGAATGCCATTTTCACACAGATTTGTTGTCCAATTATTAGTGCTCAGAAGCAGTAAAAGAGCTTCCAAATAGGCATTGATTTTTTAATCATTAGTCTGACTTCTTTTATGTTCGCTCCCTTTTTAAACTGTTCTCTTGTTAACTGCCTTTATCTGATTATACTTTATCTGTTTTACATATTTTACTTGTCTCCAACTGTTTCTTGAATTTTAACTTTTAAAAATGGTTTATATAACCCGAAACAGCAGCATTTTGTCTTTCTAAATCTTGTTTAAGAAAGTCTTCTCTTTCTAAGTTACAAAGTTATTCTCCAATTAAAAAAAAAAATTTATTCCCTAATTTTTATTTTAAGGCATTTTTTTTCACCTTCAAAAGTTCATGTGGCAAATGTATTTGAATATCAAAATGCTTATATCATAAAATGATGTAATAATTTTGTGTAGCAGAAATACAATTTGATTTTTTTATCCATAATTCTACTTTTCTGATAATATGATTTTCTTACTGAAGTATCCTCTGCCTAGAGTGGAAGTGTTTTCCATGCTATATAAAATTCTTATATATGCGCAACACCCTTCCTTCCTTCTCTTATTTTATGATGCCCCTAACAGGTTGTATGGCCTGTGTCTCTTCCTACCGCTTCATTTAAAGAATTGATTGTAGTACGTATGCTCCTTTCTGAATGCAAATTAATTTTAGGATTATTAATGAAATTATATAAAATGTCATAATAAATGAAAGTAAATTGGAAGTCCATCAGAGATTGGTACTATAGTTTGACATTTTATGATTTTCATCATAAATATATATACCATGGTATATATTATAAATGTCACATATATTATGATGTATTACTATTTATTTAGGCAATTTCACAAACATCATCCAATACTATCTCTAATTTTTATAAATCTATTACATATTTCCTTTAACCAGATTATTTTCATTAGGAAATGATTCATCTCTTATTTATTTATTTATTATTATTTATTTAGATGTTCTTATGATCCTTGATATTTTTGCTAGCTTAGCTTGCAAATGAGTTTATGTGCTATTGATCTTTTGGTTTCTTTTCTTTTTTTTTTGCCACCTCTGTGTGGGTGGATTAACCGATAAACAAGGTGAGTGAGGGCTTACTTAGACTAATTAGTTTCTCTGTAAACAACAATTTCATATGTTTTTCACCACATTTGTTATGGAAAACGTGTGAAACTGTTAATTACACTGATTAATAAATAAACACAAACAATTCCATATTTACTTTGCTTACTTGGTACTCTGTCATTGTCAGGATTTACAGATTTGGGGGGGGGGGGATTGCATTCTGTAGAAAGGTCCTGTGGGGTTGAGAGAGGCAGATGTCAGATGTACTTAAAAGCAGAATATTTGAGGTGGTTAAAAAATTAATATTTACCACAGATGAGTAAATAAGCAAAAAAGTAAGCCTATGTTGACCGTGCTAACTGAGTAATCCAACACCGAGTCTGTCTTGCAGGCGTGTGGTTTCTTCCATGATTTGTTTCCTGGATCTCAGTACTAGAACCCGGTCTTTTATGGACAGCTTTGGGGTCTCATCTTGCAGCAATAGAGAGTATGTTGCATTTCTGGTCCTCAATGATTAGTCCAATGAGGACATTTTTTGTTGAAAGCTGCTTTGGAGTCCACACATGGTGTCATCACAGGAGCAAAATGTTGTCTAGTCCTGGGCCATACCCATGTGAAGTTGCAGATAGGGTTATTATGATTCATAGAATTCTCAATGGCTGGTTTGCAGAAGTAGATATCTAGAATTTTCTTTCTAGTGCATCTTACTTTGGAAGCTCTACTGAAATCTATTCAGCATCATAACAACACCCAAACTTCCAGTCAAAGATGAGCAAGGGTAGTGTTTGAAGTGCATTGGCCCTTGGAAGTCCTTTTAATTAGTCTGAACTCTGCTCTAGACCCAGCAGTTGAATTTAATTCTGCTTCTACCTTCATATATGAAATGCTTTTTCTTACCATTTACCTTCCCACTGTCATCAACTCAATTCCAACTCATAGTGGCCCTATAGAACAGTGTAGAACTGTTCCCGTGGATTTTCTGAGACTGTACTTCTTTAATGGGAGTAGAATGCCTAATCTTGTTCCCACTTAATCACCTTATCGGAGGAATTCCTAACTCATTACCTATTTGTATCTAATTATCATACAAGCCAATTAGAGCAATGGTTTTAAAACCTGTTTCTTGCCTTTTATTTTTGTTTCTGTTCTGCAGAACTGATTTTTTTGTGTGGCTATACCTCCCCAATGAAATAATACATTTATCTATTTTTAAAAGTTTATTTCAGTTGCTACTGTGAACCGAGGTGTATTTTATTGTTGTTAGGGGCTCTCAAGTCAGCTGCGTCTCAGAGTGAGCCTGTGTACAGTGAACAAGGCGATGCTCTCAGTCCTGCATATTTCTTGCAATCATTTCTGTGTTTGAAATCATTGTTGCGGTCACTGTGCTAATCTATCTTGTTCAGGTTCTTTCTCATTTTAGGAACCTTTTACTTTACTAAAAAGGATATTCTTCTTTAGGAAATAGTCTTTCCTGATAACACTTTCTAAGGACATGAGCTAAATCTCGCCATCCTTGCTTCTTAGGAACATTCTGACTATATGTCTTCTGTTTGTTCGTCTGGCAATACATGGTAGATGTAATATTCTTCACCAGCACCATAATTAAAAGACATCGATTTTCTTCAGCTATCTGTAGTCACTGTCTACATTTTGCATGAATACGTTCATGTACTGTTATTGAGTTCATACCGACTCATCTCGACATGGTAGAACTGACCCTGTGGGTTTCTGGGACTTGTAACTCTTTACAGGAGTAGAAAGCTCTGCCTTTCTCTTGTGGAGCCACTGGTGGTTTCAAACTGCTGACCTTGCAGTTAGCAGTCCGACTTGTAACTATTATGCCACCAGAGGCCCTGGAAATGCCATGACTTACTTCAGGAGTACCTTAGTTCCCAAAATGACCTGTTGGTTTTTAGCATTTTGGAGATTCCTACCATCATGCGTAGAATCCTTATCCTAGAACCCTTCAGTATTTCAGTTCACAGCAGGACTTTCATTCTTTATGGTATTTCAGCTTAAGAAATTCCAAGTATGTTCATCCATGTGGGTTTTCTAGCTCCAAGTCTTTATAGATTTCATTGTTCTATTTTACTTTGTCTTCTGAGACTGACTCTTGCAATCTTCTGTTTAGGTATTTTACTTTTGGGACTCTACATTCAAAAGCAAGTGTCAGAGTCTCTTCTGGTATCCGTTTTGTTGTGAGTTTGTTATCTTTCCTCTCTGTTTAATGTCTTTGCTTTCGTCATGTGTGATGTCCTTGATGGCATCCCGCGTTTCACCTGATCTTAGATCATTAGTGATTGATACAGGGAATCTATTATTGAGCTGGTCTCTGAATTCAGATAGGTTAGGCCCAAGGTCGTATCTTGACTCTTAATAGACTTGTTTTAATTTTGCTCACCTTCATCTTGAATTTTCACCTGAGTACTTGATAGTTTGCTCTATAGTCAACCCTTATCCTTTGTCAGACTCATGAAATTGAGCTGCTCTTTATCTATTTCCAAAGATCCAGTCAACTTCACTTCTGTCTGTTCCACACACTGAGGCCCACATATAGAGTCATCACAGTGATGTTGCTGTAAGAAACAATGAGTAGCTTGTTGGGCTTGCAAAATTTGATCATGAGATTGCCAGGATTTGTTTCTGTCACCAATGCCATATTCTCAATGCTGAACTTTATTTGTCTCCAATTTTATATTCCGATAATCATTAAGTCAATCAATGGTGATTGAATATTTGATTAATTTCAGCCTGTTAGAAGTGGGCAAAATCTTTATATTTTCATGTTTGCCATTAGCAGTTATTGTGTAAGTTGAATACTGGTCATAATAACTGGTCTTCACTGTAGATGTGCATGCATCACTAACACAGTATTGTACTTCAGGTAGACTATGCCTCTGCCTTTTTGATGATGAATGCTGTGTTATTTTGTCAATTTGTCATTTCTGGTATAGCAGACTGTATGATTGTCTAATTTAAGATGATCAGTACCAGTCCATTTTAGCTCATGGAATACCTATGATAGGAACCGTGGTAGCTCAATGGGTTGTTAGTTTTCTAAGGGTATCGACAATTTTGGATTCCATATAATTTTGAAAACTTACAATTTTTAGTCATTCATAGTCCATGCATTCCACTTTATGATTGCTCGTGAATGTTTGCAATTTCATCTTATATTAAGTCATGTTCCATCAACCAACAACATCCCTAAAGTTTGACTGCATCCACATCATTAAGACTCACTCTGCTTTGCAGAGGAAGTGCTTTGGATCTTCTGGCTTATCTCTGGCCCTCTATCAGATAATGTTCCACTTTTATTCATAAGATTTTCACCAGAAACAGATAGCCTGTCTTAACCTGGGAGACCTGCTAAAATATTGCCATCATGGGTGACCTTGCTGGTATTTGAGATATCACTGGCATAGCTTCCAGTATTACAGCAAAACACAAGCCACCATAATACCACAAAGTGATAGACAAATGGGGCAAAACTATTATCACATTCCCTATGTAGCAATGAATGAAGCAAATAGAAATATGTTAAGTAGTTTTATCTGTTTAGAGAAATATTAAGAAATACTAGTATAAATAACTCATTGAAATTTAAAAAAATATATAATTTTATTTATTTTGATTTTGTTGCTGAGAATATATACCAATTCAACATTTTTTTAAAAGATCATTTTATTGGGGGCTCTTACAGCTCTTATAAGTCCATATATCAATTATATGAGCATATTTGTACATATGTTGCAATCATTATTTTCTAAACGTTTACATTCTAGTTGAGCCCTTGG